AAAACAACCCCGCTTGATTTTAAAGTGGTACAGTCCTAGCAGAAGCAGTCTGCAGTGTGAACAGAAGGCAGCTTTGCATCTGGGCTCATTAACTGTTTCATTATTGGTGTGCTTAAAAATCGGTGCTGGTCATTCTATCGGCTCAGCGAGGCCTGCTTAACAGCTGTGTATTTAAATCCATCATTCGAACACTCAGGGATCAGTTGGCAAACATAGACATGATTACCATAGTATTTAAAGAGGAGAGCTTGGATGCAAGGGGTAAATGAGACACGTTGTATCTGTGCTATTAGAAACATTTAATAGAAACTATTTTGTGATGGATGCTGTGGTTTTTATAGGAAAACCTTTATACATTCATTAACAAGAACAAGTTAAATGGATGAATATTTATTTCAGCAGGCAAATAACATTTTCAGATTCCATACTGTGACATTACATTGTGTATTAGAAACGAATAAGCAAAATAATTAAGTCGACAACCTGGCCAAGATTAGTGTGTTACACTCTCAGACAGCAGTTGTGGTCATTAATTCAGCCCATTTCCTGATATTGATAGACTGGGTGAGGGACAGACACTGAGGGATACACTACAAATGTCCCATTTCAGCATATCACTAAAATAAGCGGCAGTGAATTAAAGATAGCAGCTGCAAAGAAATTTTTATTTTTTATTTTTTTTTATTCTCTATTTTTATTGTGTATGGAGTAACAATAACATCTTACAATGCCACAACAGCATGAATAAGTAACTCATTAACATCGTACACAGGTATGGCACTGGGGTAAAGGCACATTTTAGTATATTGGTTGGAAAAGCTAGTATATTCCGCTATGCCAGTGGAACTTCATCAGTAAATACAGGATTAAACATGCTATTTCAGCTGGCATTCCGCGTATAGAAGAATATGATAATGATTAATGAACTTCAACGATTGGTCTAGGTCTTGACCCAAATAGGCCTTGTGTGATTTGGGGTGTGAGAGCCCAGTCATGAGAGTAAAGGGTAGACTGGTGTCGGTCTGGGGGTTGGCGGGGTGATATCCCCAGCAAGTGTGTACCTCGCTGTTGCCAGCTGGTGCTAGAGGTAAGATGGTGTGTATGCACAGTCCTGTCTAGGTGTTTGGTCAATTTCGTGTGGCTGTGTGCACGACTGTGTCTCCTAATAGTGCCGGTGCCTTGTGGTGTCGCCATAGCTTCTCGATATGTAATGTAGTGTCTGCACCGTAGTCTGGGGCCGTCCACTAGAGCCTTGGGTCCGGTGAGTAATAGCATAATAAAATTAAGTAAGTTAGACTACTGTCTTTGGGTCTGGGGCACATCTATGATTATAATGGCAGTTAGCGTTCCAGGTCATCCTCGAGGTTTAGCCACGTTTGTCATAGGTTGCTACTGCAGTGCCCCGACTTAGTGATGCTTGAATATACCCTGTTACCCCGGGTGGAGGGGGGGGATGTTATACTATGTACGAGGGCGTTTGGAGGGGCTGCTGAACATGAGGTCTGGTTGTGCATTGAATGGCTAGGTATAAAGAGGGTTGCCTTGAGTAGGGGAGTCCAAAAAGTTCCTAAAACATACGTGAGTTTAAACGAGTTCAACAGGTGGGAGATTAGCTCCGCTGAGACCTAAAGGTCTGAAGGCAGGTCGGCTCTTGCAGCTGCATCAGGTATTGGCTGCTGTGTGAGTCGCCGTCCCGTCCCGTCTGGGGACGAATGAGGCTACTTTTGCAGGGTCTCCGATGTTGGATGGTACTAGCGTAGTGGTGTTCTCCGCGATGGGCATAGAGTCCATGTGATGGCCCAGGGTGGCCAGTAGTTCCGTAGCCCCCTGCATATCCTGGATGATGGATGCAGAGTTCCCGTGGTGGACCTTGAGCGCTTGGGACACCTTCCAGTTATATTGGACCTTGTGCTGGCATAAAAGTGTTGTGAAGGGCTGGAGCGAGCGTCGCAATGCCAATGTGGACCCCGACAGGTCAGTGTAGAAGGAGAGCTGTATTTCTTCAAACTGGTATGGTGAGTGATTTTGCGTTGCTTGTATTACCGCTGCTTTGTCCCCCTGATGTTGGAAGCAGACCAGGAGATCTCTCGGATATTGTTGTTGTTGGGGCCTTGGCTGCTCTTGGTAGTCGGAAAATCTTCTCTATGGTCACTTGTCTGGCCTGCTTGGGGGGTAAGAGGGCCTGCAGTACTCGCCGTATTACATGTGGCAGCTCTGCCTCCGGTATCCCTTCTCCGACGGCCTGGATTTTGACATTTCGGCTGCGTCTCTGATCCTCCAGCACTGCGAAGCGGTGCTCATAGGTGAGGTGCTGCTGTTTCAATTCTTGTACTGCTTATTGCAATCTTTGTGTTTGTTGTGCATTCTGGCGGGAGTCGGTCTCCAGGGTACCCAGGCGGCCCGTCAGGCCCTGCAGGTCCTGCCGAAGTTGGGCCATATCGGCTTCTTTAGTGTGTTGGAGCCCCGCCAGGAGTTCTTTCATGACCGTAGTGGTCACCGGAGCTGAATCTGGTCATGGGTAAGTTTGGAGGGGTGCTGGCATGGCTGTTGAGTTCTCCGCCTCCACCCCTGTTGTGAAGTCGTCCGAGTCTGGGGATCAGTTTGGTGTCAGTTTTTCCGAGTTTGGACTGTGATTGCTGGCTCAGAGTTCTTGATTTTTGCAGAGCTCGTGCTGCATGCGGCCATTCAGGTCAGTTGCTTGGCTCCGCCCCCTGCAAAGAAAACTTTATGAACCTTTAAAGAGACACTATCTCAATAAACTGCTCTGAGTGCAGGGAAATTTTAGCCCTGTAATGTAAAGCATTGAGGTTTAACAGATACAACAATCTATGTGTTGCAGGGCTAAACACACCTCTAACGGATGCCTTCCTCACAGCCACTAAAGGTACTTCTGCTGGGAGAACAGAGGCAGGCTTGGTTTTTACACATCACTCCTCTGAGTGCTTCAGTTAGAGGAGTGTGGCACTTGTCATACATGCGCTTCTTGTTCTTAATGCTTCCCCATGAGGAGTATTGGCCTAGATGTGAAGACAATGAGGTGTGTGCGGCTTTATCGAGTGAGTGTCATCACTCTAAAAAAAAGATTTAAAAAGATTTTCCCTTTCTTTACATTTATTTTTGGGGGGCCCTGAATCTTAACAGTTAGGAGAATACTACAGCCTCAATTTATG